AAAAATTGAAGGGCACCTGTAGTCTTTCTCGGAGTTGACCCGTGTTTTGATTTTATAATTGTCAGTGCTGAGACTATTGCCAGGACAAATGCATGGTACAAGATGTCAAAAGTATGTTTAGAGACTGGGGTGGTTTGAATGAGAAGGGTCCCCAAAAGGTCATATATTTAAAGGTTTGGTTCCCAGTTGATAGAATTGTTTGAGAAGGATAAAGAGGTATGGCCTTGTTTAAGATGTGACTATCGGCGGTCAGATGACCCCAAGACCTTCTCAGAGACCCTGAGAGAGGACAAAGGACCATTAGCTCCTTGTCCGGGAGCAAGCTTGTCAAGATCCAGTCTGGGGCTGAAGCCCGGACCTTGAAGGAGTTAAAGTTTCAGTTCCTGGGAACCCAGCGTCCTCCCGCAAAGGGCTAAGGCAGTTGTGTGAAGTACCCTGTGTTCTTCTTGCCAGTATTGTCTGATCCAGCCACCTGCTGATCTTGGCCCCTTCTCCCCTACAAATAATATACAGGATGCTCCACTTCTTAATAAACACACTTGTCACAAGGCATCAGCTTAAACAAGCCCTCCCAGTCCCAGCTACGTCTTCTTTATTTCTCATCCTCCGTCCACCCACTCAATGTCTCGCCATTCAGAACCCTTGTTCCAGTGGGTTTGGGCCGCCTGACCTTATTGGAGGAGGCATGGCTCTGGGGATGGGTTCTGAGGTATGACAGATGCTCTCTCTCTGCCTCCTGCCCGTCAATCAGGATATAAGCTCTGAGCTGCTGCTCCAGGGCCTGCCTGCCGCCGCGCTGCCTGACGCCGCGCTCCCTGCCGTGATGGCCGTGGACGTGGACTAACCCTCCAAAATTGTAAGCAGCCTCCAATTAAATGCTTTCTGCTTTAAGTCGTCTCGGTCATGGTGTCTCTTCACAGCAATAGAACAGTAATTAAGACAGGGACATTTTAGAAATTGTTGGGAATTTTGTCACAATCCAAGATAAAATTCATTTAATTATTTTTTGGGGGTGGTGGGAGAGGAGGTGATGATATTGTGGATTGAATGCAGGACCTCACGGATTGTCAGGTGAATATTCTACTACTGGGTTATATGCCCAGATCTGCTTAGTAGTTTTTAAAGGAAAATAAAACCCAAATCAGGAATTCAAATAATTAATTTTAAAAATCAAACATTCTAACATATTTTTATCCAAGCATATCCTGATTTAATTTTTATATGCCAAGAAAGAATGATAGGGAAAATAAGAAAAGCTTTGTTTTCTGCAAGTAAATCAATGTTTCTCTAAGAGTGAACCTTAAACCAGGCAGTGGTGACGCACACTTTCAATCCCAGCACTCAGGAGGCTGAGGCAGGCTGATCTCTGTGAGTTCAAAGCCAGCCTGGTCTACAGAGTGAGTTCCAGGACAGCCAAGGCTACAGAGAAACCCTGTCTCAAAAAGTCAAAAAAAGAAAAAAAGAAAAAGAAAAGAAAAGCTTCTGTCATCTAAATGCACCAAGAAATAGAAGAATGACAGAATCTGGGTACTGATTCTAAATAATTCTAGAAGGCCATTCCTGTTATCTTAAAAATAAACTGCAGCAGTTGCCAGCAATCCCCAGTTCCTGCTAACTCAAAAACGTGGTGTAGTGTAAATGGGACATTTGCAGCATCTAGCGAATCCAGGACTTCAGATCAAAAAAGAGTGGAGACTCAGGCCCAAAAGGTCCCCAATCGTACAGCCTTGGCACTCGGGCCCTGAGAAAGGGCCCTGTGGTTCTCGTGTCCTCTAAGGATACCTGGCTTACAAAAGAGCAGGATCAAATGGGAAAATTGGGTCTGAAATGGCCTGTTTGGGGGGTGGGAGATTTTTTTAAAGTAGCCATATTATCTTTGGCAAAATCATGCCAACAAAAAGGACGTCAATAAAGAGAGAGCATGGAGTTGGCAGATGCTTAAAAAATGAATAAATAAAAAGGGCAGTTTACTGGGAAATTTTCATGGAGGGCTTTTAAAAAAAATACAGACCAGAATATCTTCTTTTAATTAAGCTGAATGCTGACTCCAAAGTTCTTTGAAAAATGAATTAACCAAAGTCTCAAATTACTTCCTGGTTCTTTTTATTTTAATGTATGAGTCAAAGGTACTCGCAAAACATCCGAGGCTCCTAAAAAGCTGGGCATCGTGATACAGGCCTGTAATCTTAGCATCTGGGAGGATGAAGGAGGAGGAACCTGAGTCTGGGGCCTGCTGGGGCTACATAGTGACACCATGTCCCAAAACAATAATAACTATAAGGCCAGTAAGGCTTTCACAGCAAAGGATGTGCTGGGCACAGCACACAGGTGCGGCCCCTGGAGACACACGGGGACCACCCCGCCAGCGGTGTGTGAGCATCAGGTCTCTGAAGTCTCTCCAGCCCTGGACTCAGGAAGCGGCAAAGCAAACATCGCTTGGTTATTGCAAAGTCATTCTTGTTTTACTTGGCATGTCCTTCGTCAGCAGAGACACATTTCGTTATTTATTGATACTTCTTCTCTCCCTTGCAAAGAGGATATCCGAGCCTCGTGTGGTTTTCTAATTAAGCAGTGGGGTTTTCCCCCTAAGCTTTTATAAAGATGAATTCTGCTCACAGAAAAGTGAAATATCATCACAAAAATTGTGACTTTATTAGCCAACAACTACTACTTGGATTCTTTCCAAACTTTCTCCTTGGAGCTTCTTGCTTAAGGCTGGGCACCCTCCCAGACGCTTCCTAGGGCGTCTTGAGGTGTCGCTCACAATCGCTAAGTACCCACTAGTGACTGTACTAACACATTTTGTAGTTCAAATCACATTCTCATTTTTAAAAACTTATATCTGTACACTGGCTGCCATTATGCAACTGGAAAGCACCCGAAAGACAAGACAGTGTGCAAACGCTGCCCTGACGGGATATGGGTTGGGTGTCGCTGTTTAGGCTTAGTGATGTTGACCTCCCGTACGGGACGAGGACCTTGACGGCAAGGGCTTTCTAAGTGAGGAAGGATTAGCTAGGGGTCAACTTTCACCCAGACACGAATTTAGAGGTTTTTATTCTCTTATTTTTTTCACAGATGTGTATGTGTGTGCTGTGTGTATATATTCAACTATAGAAGTGCACATGTGTGTGCATACTTTATGCCGTGACCAGCCTGTGGAGGTCAAAGGCCAACTTACTGATATCTCCTACCATGTGGGTTGTTTTGGCATGTGGGTTGCTTTGGTTGAGCAAGGATTACCAGCTTCGGCAGCAGGTACCTTTACTGCTAAGCCGTCTCACCTGCCCTGTTTGAGAGTTTTTGCTGAGACAGGGTCTTAAGCAACCAGGCTGGCCTAGATGCATAGCCAAGGCTGTTCCCGAGCTCTTCCTGCTTCTTCTCCCTCTGCCTCTCAAGTGCTGGGATTACAGGCTTGTGCCAACGTGCCCAGCTGGCATTCTGGTTGTTTAATACTCTTTTTTTTTAAACATTTATTTATTTATTATGTATACAATATTCTGTCTGTGTGTATGTCTGCAGGCCAGAAGAGGGCACCAGGTCTCATTACAGATGGTTGTGAGCCACCATATGGTTGTCGGGAACTGAACTCAGAACCTTTGAAAGAGCAGGCAGTGCTCTTAACCACTGAGCCATCTCTCCAGCCCTGTTTTAGTATTCTTAATTGCAGTCCCAGATAAACTTCCTGCCCAGTAACTGTTTCTTATAATTTATCATATTTCCAGTTACTTGTCTCATTTGCTTTCCGTTGTTGTGACTAAACACCATGACCAAAAGCAGCCTGGAGAAAAAAAGTTATTTCATTTTACGTCCGTGGTGACCGGAAGCCAGGGCAGGAACTCAAGGCAGAGCCTGAAGCAGAGGCTATGGAGGAGCTCAGTTTCCTGACTTGCTGCTCACAGATTGCTTAGCCTGCTTTCTTATATAACCTGGCACTACCCACAGTGCACTGGGCCCTCCCCCACATGCTTGCCTATAGGCCAAAGTGGTAGGGACATTTTCTTAGCTGAGGTTCCCTCTTCCCAAATGACTCTACCTTGCATCAAACTGACAAAAACAAACAAACAAACAAAAAACCTAGTACATTATTGATACCAGGCTTAGAGTCACCTTTATGTTCAAAGATGAAAGAAGTTAAAAAGCAGCTTTTAAATGGGAAATAAAATATAATCCATCACTTTTAAGGCAAAGGCAAAAGGATCACAAGTTTGAGGTTAGCCTGGGCTATCTGATCTGGTGAGTGTAAGGTCAGACTAGGCTATATATCGAAACTGTCTCCAAAAGCCAGGAGCTGCGGGTCTGACTCAATGAAACAGTGTGTGTTTGCCATGTTGTCTCGGGTCCATCGTGGTAGGGAGCATGGCAGGCAGGCGGTCAGTGCTGCAGCAGGAGCTGAGAATTTACATGTAGAGGCAACAACCACAAGGCAGAAAGAACTAGTCCAGAATGGCATGGACTTCTTAAACCTCAAAGTCTGCCCACTGTGGCACACTTCCTCCAGCAAGGCCACACCTCCTAATCCTTCCCAAACAATTCTGGGGACCTAACATTCCCATACCTGAGCCTAAGGGAGCCATTCTCATCCAGATCACCACACATATGCAATGTGCCCAGCTCAGCAGGGGTGGGAGTGGTCTGTAAATGGAAGATCCATCTATAAGGAGCAGTTCAGTAACTCTTTAGTCTTCAGGGACTTCGGGGTGTTGGCAGTTAACTGTCTTCTTTCCCATCTTTCCTGTTTTCAAGTTGAAAGCACGCACTAAGTTACTCAGAACCCAGAACCCAAACCAGTAAGCCTTTCATGGCTTGACTAAGAGTGAGTAAGATATCACCTCACTCCTACTGCAAATGCCATGCCATGATTAGGGCATGTCCAGAAATCTTCAGAGCCCAGGCCTGAGTCTCCCTCCATGTCCGCAGTGAGACTCAGCATGCACAAGCAAGCTGATTATTGACAAGAACGTTGTGTCCTTAGATTAAAAAACTTGTCTGGCCAGTGATTCTCAAAATACAGCTTCTTAAAGACCTTTAATCATTTGGTATCCATGGGGATCGGATTCCAAGACCCATAGCATCAAGCTCTGCATGTGTTAAACAAAATGGAACGATGTTTTCACATACACCGTGCACAGTGAAGGAGACAGGACAAGTGGGCCAGTTTCTGTTTAGACGTCACAATGCTGACTCCGGATATGCGGAGGACCCTGGAACCCAAAAGTAAACAGTGATGTAATCTATTACGTAACGATTCCTGGCAAAATGATTCTTTCACGTGACTCTATATAAACACGACCTTAAGGTAAGAGGAGAACGTTTTTCGACTTTTGCCTTTGCCAGGCAGCCTTGCAGGCCTGTGTGTGCCTACCTGTGGTCTCTGTCCCTGTCTGCATGTGTGCCTGTGAGTGCCAGCATCACACGGGTACTGCCAGTGACTGTCTGCCTAGTGGCCCGTGTGTTGAGGGGAAAAAAAGCAGGCCGGATCTGCCTGTGACATTTCATATTCTCTTTAACCTCTAAGGCTCGCATATACTTCTAAAGGAATATCTGATGTTGATAATGTAGCAAAGTTATATAGAAAATACATGCTTGACTAATTCGTTCGTTTAAGTGTTGGGCAATAATGTCTCAATCGTTAGGTTCCATGTCTATGGACTCCACCAGCCATGGAGAGAAACTACTCTGGGAGAGGTTTGTACCTATACTGAACACATCCGTTATTTCCTACACAATCAAGATGGCAGCTCTCTCCACGGCGCATGAGCAACGGCAGTGTCTTTTCCAGGGAGCCCACTGGTTCCCAGGTCCCTCCCGCTTCCAGTTTCTCAATGGCCGGTGCCAAATGAGCTTTGGAAGTTGGTGTGCGTCCATTTCCTTGAACAAGGTGCATCTGTGAGGAAAAAGGCATTTCCTCGGGCTTTCTTCGACTATTAAGATGAATAGTTAATTTGTTTAAATTGTAGCTTAAAGTAATTTTACTTTCATAGTTTATTTTTATTTGTAAAATGTGCTGAGACTTATTTGTTTATTTATTTGTTTATTTGTTTTTGGGGTTTGGGGACAAGGTTTCTCTGTGTAACAGCCCTGACTGTCCTGGAACTTGCTCCATAAGCCACACTGACCTTGAATTCGCAGAGATCCCCCTGCCTCTGCCTCAGGAATACTGGAATTAAAGGTGTGCACCGCTGCCTGGCTATTTTTTTTCTTAGCTTTCACTACATTTCCCAACATAAAGGAACTTAACTTTGTCCTTCCTCAGCCTCTCAACCATAATAACTGGAATCCCTGGCAAGGACCACTAGGCCTGGCCTTTTATCAGCTTCATAAGGGAGACTTTGATTAATATTTCCCTTTGTTAATTAAACTTCCTTGAAAATGGAATCTGTGTTCATTAACCTAACGTATTTCTTTGAAGGCATGTCAACTATGTGACTGATTAAACCCTAAATAGTCTTATGAATCCAATGATACAGATCCAGCAAATGAAGAAAATTTTTATATTAAAATCTCAAGTCAAATCAAATACCCATTGTTCAGTTAGAATTGACTTAGAATATGAATCTGTAAGTCTATCCTACAAAATTATTGTCATAGCAAATTTTCTTATGTTCTTTAAGAATATATATTACAGACCCTCTCCCTCTAGATTGTTCTGACATTTAGTTTGAGATAGTTTGATTTGCCTGGCCATTTCTGTGCTTTACCGTAATCTCTCAACTATTCTCGGGGCTGGGGCTGGGGCTCCCGTGTGGACTGCCCGCCTAGCATGCAGAGGCTCTAGGTTTGATCCCCAGCCCTACATACACCTGACATGGTAGAATATACCTGTAATTCCAGCACTCACTGGAGGCAAGATGATGAGGAATTCAAGGTCCTTTTCAACTACACAGCAACTTCAGATCTAGCCTGGGATACAGGAGATCCTATCTCAAAAATAAAAAAAAAACATAAAACAAAAAAAAAACTGTTCTAAATCTAAGATCACTAAATAGAAAATTACTTTATTTCAAATAATTTGACACTGTCTTCCAGGGTGGCCAAGGAGACCTAAAATTTTGGGGTGTGTGTGTGTGTGTGTGTGTGTGTGTGTGTGTGTTTTGTGTATGTTTGTATATGTGTGTGTTTGTGCATGTGTGTATGTATGTGTGTGTGCCAGTTGTACATAGCTAATTTTATTTGAAATAAGGCTGGCCTGGGACTTTTGGTCTCCACTTTCTAAGCACTGGGATTATAGGCAGGAGCCACCATTCCTAGCTATGAAGCATAGGTCTTGTATTCAAAGGACATGTATTTGTGCCGTGAGCAAAGACCTGTATTTTGGTTATAGCCATCTTAGTCACAAGTTAAATAAGCTATTCAGAAGCCTCTGTAGGGCAAGTTGGGGGGGGGGCCTAGGAAAATAACCCAGTGTCTTATCTCCCTGTGAGACCTGCAGGCCCCAGGCTTCAGAAGTAATTAGCATTTCTTGTTTTTGTTAACAGTCACAGGCCCTCAGTATCTCCTTAATCTCTTTCTGTCAGCTAGAGATGTCTCCAGACCTGACATTCTAGCACCCTCCCCTCCCCACTGCCTGTTAGCTATATAATGCTCCTGAGAAAAAAAATAGAGTTGGCAGCTTGATCAGAATACAGACTTGCTGTCTGCTTCTCGAGTCTCTTGTCCCTTTCATTCCTCTTCCCTCCAGGGTTCAGGATCTCCGTTCGTGTTCTGCTGGTCGGGACATATTTGGATTCTCTCAAGTCTGGATTTGGCTCTAGACATTTTTAACTAATGACAAGGTCATTTTTAAGAATTACTTGGGGTCAGTGAAAATACAGTAAAACAAGCACAAAGTTTGGGTTGACGAGTAGCCGTCACTGACGTCACTGACGTGGAGTCAGGCTTGCCTGGCCTTGAGGTCTTCACTCCTTTCTCGCTCTCTTGGGCAGCCAGTCACACATCGCCACCTCACTCTTAGTAAGTGAGTCACTAGCTGAGGCGACGGCAGCTCCTGACATTCAGCTAAGAGGCAACAAGCAACCCAACTGGGGACAAGTGTCACAGATAGTGTCATGAACCCTGGGTTTGTCAGGGCAAGCAAATCACCAAGAAAGCAGGCCTGGAACATGACGTGGGCACGTGTTACCTGCATGCTCAACACACTGAGGTGAGCATGGAAGATGGGAATGGGGAGAGGACTTCCTGCCCTGCCCAGGAGAGATACTGCTGCTGGCCTGCAGGACCCCGTGCTCCTAAACAGAAGAGGACATTTCACCCAGGGATTCTGCAGTCATAGTATTTTAAATTACCTAGTTCCTGTGAGCCTAAATCCAGCCCACCAACAGTAACAATCATCTTCTACAAATAAGGGCTTGACCAGAAGATCCGAATGGCCATCTCCAGGGACCTGTGCCAAGCCATCGGGCCGTTTTCCCTTCATACCACTTTGCAACGGCAGGGCTGAGCAGGTTGCAGCACCCAGTGAGTAACTCTGATGCAAAGCACTTTCCCAACAATTTGCCTTCTCTAATTTTTTATTGTTCGTCAGATTTCTATAAAAGGAGAAATTACGACTTTCTTGATCCCAATTGGCCTTACCAATTTTCTTCCTTTAAATTGTTCAAAGACAAGGTCCTGATATTTATCCCTGTAGCCTCAAAATTACAATCCTGCTGTCTCAGTTTTCTAAGTGATGGGATCATGGGCACTTACCACCACGCTCAGTCTATAATTTAATTGTTATTATTAGGATTATAAAGTTGCAAGGAGTCATCTGGGAGTCATCGGAATATACTGCCTCCTACCAGGACCAGGATAACCCGGCTCTACTCTTACCAAAGTCAAGGCCTGTTATCGTTTGTGGTAAGTATATAACAAGAATTAAACTTAGTAGATTACTGATTGGGTGGTTTCTATTTCTTATGGAATGTATTACTGGGCTTGGCAAAATTTCCTCGCTTCCCACTGCTTCTGGGGATGCAAGGGTTAAGCTCAACTGGCACAATATTGATTTGTTAATAAGAAGTGAAAGTGACCCGAAGAGATGGCTCACTGGGTAAAGAGGCCTGTTGCTTGCAGCCAAGCTGGATTGATTTAATTACCTGAACCCGCATGGTGGGAAGGAGAGATTTGACTTCTACAAACTGTCCTCTGGCCAATGCATGCACACCATGGTATCATCCCTGTTTCCCCAGATTTAAAAAAAAAATGTAATTAAAAAATTAAGGCAAAGATATCTCAAGGCAATGAAAAATGTTGCTATTGCTTCTTTTGTAGTAAAAGTCTAACCTGTAACTGAATGGAGGGACAGGGGCTGTGTCTTGCTCTTCTCCCCTAACACCGTAGTCGGGTACAGCGCCGAGCATGGGCTGATTGAGTTGACTGAGTCTTGAGCTGCAGAAGAAGTGCTGGGTGACTTCCTGGACCAGAGGAACATTCTCCGCTATGGTTTCCACAGCAGTTATCTTTGGGGAGCGAGGTGCTTGCTGTTCGTTTCTTCTTATTCTACTGATATTTTCCCCCCAACCACAAATCCAAGTTCTGCAGCGCAAGATTGCTTCCAGAAATGATGAAACCCTTCTCTCTCATTGCATTCCAAAGTATGGTTTCTACACACATCATAGGGCCACGGACAGCCAAACACCGCTGCATCCCACATAACAAAGTTTCTACCAATGATGGACCACAGGTGAGGGTGGTTCCGGAAGATTCCATCACCTCATGATGTCATGACCGTCTAAGTTTGTATAACACACTCCATGGTTAGAGTACAAGGACGACCTGCTACTGGCACATTTGTGTCTCCATAACTAAGTGACATGTCTGTAGTCCTGTGAGGACACGCTAAGTGACATGTGTCTGTAGTCCTGTGAGGACATGCTAAGTGACATGTGTCTGTAGTCCTGTGAGGACACGCTAAGTGACA